GGCCGGGTGGAGCCTTGAGCAGCCTGATCGAGTGGGAGATGTCCCTGCCAGGGCAGGGGGGCTGGAACTGGATGATCTTTGAGGTCCCTCCCAACCCAAATCATTCCGTAACTCTAAGTTCTCGTTAATGAAGTATCGCAGCGCAGGTTGCCGAGGCTGTGGTAGAGCTCCTTCTCTGTGAAGCTTCTCTCGGATGGTGTCCCACCCTCTCTGGTGCCTCTTCCCCTGAACTGAAGTGGAAAATGCCTGGAAGCAGCCCAGAGGAGCTTGGAAATGTGGTGCGTATCGGTTCCTAGGCTGGCTGAGGAGGTGCTTCGCTTGTAGACAAGTGCCTTTGTGTCCGAGGTGATGGGCACGGAAGCCACCGCTGCTGCCTCCCCGCATGCCAGCCTTCCTCTCCGGCGGTGCCGGGCGCGCTCCTACCTACGTGTCTTGGCTCTGCTGCCCAACTTTCCGCCGGACTCCAGCTGCAGAAACGTGGCAAGCAGCAAACTGATGTATAACACTTCTCCCCGCCAAGCCCCTCGCTCCATGGAGACAACGTCTGGGGAAGCCAGCTCGGCTCTCACGTCCAGGGCTCCTTTTGAGGGAAGGATTCCCTTCAGCGGAGGCTTCCCCTGCTCCCTTGCTCACCCAGGTAAGTGGTTGTGCTCTCCCTGCCACCCACTGTCACCACTCAGCATCGTCCTTCCCCCGCAGGCCGTGTTTCCTCCCCTCTCCCCAGTAAGAGGTGTCAGAGCTGCGGGGTGACACCACTGGTGCTGTTTTGTGCTTCGACGTCTTTATTGAAGACAGTACCTGTGTATAAAATACACATAATGTATATAAACTAAGGTGTAAGTTTCTGTAAATTGTCAAATATTTTCTTTGCAAATGAAGCTTTTTTTCCCCCAACGTTGGCGTTCTTGGTGGGACGTCCTTCTCCAGGAGTTTCCATGGGAGGTACGTGGACCGTGCTCGCGTGATGGGATGCGGGAAAAGCGTCGGATGCGCAGCTGGAATGAGGGACTTCACACTGCTCAGCACTGGCTTTCCGTCCCGGCCACTGCTTGCTCTGGAGCATCTCGAGCAGAGCGCTCAGGAGCCAGCCCAGAGACCAGGAGCAATTCCTTTCCCGTTCATGGGGTGCACGAGGAGCCTCTCGGCGTTTGGCTCGGGTGGCTCCGGGTCCTGCAAAAAGGGGAGTTCACAGCCTCAGAGGGTGCAGAGCACCCAGGGATTCTCTGTGGAAGTCCCTGATGGAAAAAACGGGGACTTCTCAGCTGATTTCACCGGCCGTGCTCGCTGCTGTGCAGACTCGTGCCCGGCAATTGGGATGGTGGCGAGGAGAGGGCCGGGGTTCCCCGGGGCGAGGCGGTGCCCGGGCAGGAG